GTTCGCAGTTGTTTACAGTCAACAATAATCATTATAAATAAATTTTGGAACATACAAAACAACAAACAATATATTGCTTATAAATGGAACTGCACGTGTTGCTGCAATTTCACTCATCATTTTGTTTGTTTGTTTATTACTTATTACCGCCTTTACTTAACTAATTACTATGAAATTTATTATATACGTACTATACGGTATGGAGAAACTTATAGGCAGCTTTCTGGTTGGTAAATATATCTCCGTCATGCAGACGAAGTCCTGAGTACAAACTAGTAATATTATAAATGCAAGAGTTCATACAAATTGATTGATGAATGGATATTATATACCAGAGGGAGACTTTGTACAAAAGTCGATTGCTTGGGTACCTCTGTCCCATTCGTGTTTCTACCGTGAAGTAGTTGTGTTTGCATGGCTGTGTTTCGGTTTGAAGGATGGGATATGGCGTGAATTTACAGAGTACAGAGGAATAACATCTGAGTCCTCAGGAATGGCAAGGTATAGGGGGTATATCTGTTATGTCCATGGTACTGCTCATGTCTATAGGCGACGGTTATCACTTTCCATCAAGTGGGCCGTCAGCTTGTTTGCCATTCTAAGTTGTATAAAAAAATCCAGATGTTTTAAATTTTCTCTCTGTGTGTTTGTATTTGTAGTTCTCTGTGTTTGTATTTTATAGTTGTAGTACGGGCTGATCTCCGAAATTGTTGGACCAATTTAAATAAAATTTTACATGGTAGTACCTTACATCCTCGATCAACATTTTAAATACTTTTAATCACGAAACATTAATGAGTTCCCGTGGGATAATTAAAAATTTATAGTAAATTATACAGCTATATATAGTAAATTACACAAACTACTTGAGTAGTTTTAACCTAAAGCAAAGAGTGAGAACGACACGTCATTTGTTAATTTTGGTCCAGTATTCCCGGACATAATAAATAGGTAGGTACATACATCGGTACATACTCTCTCTCTCTCTTCGTCCTCTTCATTACTGAAGGTCGTGTCCTTGAAAGGTGTCTGTTGCCTCTCTTATGATGTTCCTCCATTGTGCACGGTCTTCAGCTTCTCGCAGGGCAGCTGCAATTGACAGTCCCGTAACGGCGGTTACTTGGTCCGACCATCGATTAGGCGATCGTCCGCGTGGTCTTTTTCCCTCTATCTTGCCTACAACCATTAGTTTGTCCAGATTGTCATATATATCGGACTGTCGTCGTCGATACATACTAAACAGGTATAAAAAATACCACGCAAAGTCGCGGGCATCGGCTAGTTATAAATAAACTTGAAATAAAAATACCTCATATACTTTATTCATAATTGAAATTGAAAATATGTACATACAGTACCTTTCCAATAAAGTTAAATTGCTTTACTCAGAAGGATTAGCTATAGAATTTCGATTTTGGGTCAACAATGAGCCCTTATAAGTGTCTATAGTCCACTGTAATTGCTTACTGATAAAGGTTTAAAACTGTCCAGGATCTGAGGGTTGAAAAGCTACTTTATGTTAATCGTAATACGATCCATTTCTGCAATAAATCTTATTGTATGGTATTACGGAATGTTACTAATATAAAAACTAGCGACCTACCCTGGCTTCGCACGGGTGTGATGTAGACACAATGTGATGTCAGTGTGGAGTGATTAATAATAATACTATATTCATTAACTGTCCACCGGTGAACTATGCCCCCCCCCCCCCCGGGAGGTTTTGCCACGCTTGGCAGGCGGATTAGCAACTGCGGTTAGGCTTTGAAGATATTTTAAGGGGGACGCTGCTGCCCGTCCCTCGCCCTTGCTTAGTCGCCTCTTACGACACCCACGGGAAAGGAAGAGGTGGCCTATTCTATGCCGGGACCATACCGTTTGCCGGGACCACACAGATATATAATCATTATTATTATAAAACATACTGTTATTATTGGCGTGTATGTGTCGTAAGTGTCTAAGGGAGGTTATGGTGGAGGAATAAGCAGTACCGTCCCTCTTAAAACATTACCAAAAGCAAAACTGCGGTTGCCAATACACCTGCCAAGCGTGGCAACTGATGGCAAACCCCCCAAGGGGGAGGCTTATGTTCAGCAGTGGACAGTTTTTTTTCAATGGGTGATAATGATATGGTAACCCCGTCTGCGCTATCGGTATACACTGGCGGGGCACCAGTAACAGATGACTGATGAAGATGAAAGCAGATCAGTAAGCCCATCCTGATGAATTCAACTAGAATTAGCCACGATGGTTTCCAGGGGGAACCACGTGGAGGTCAACCTGACAGGGTATATTGCTAGTAATGGGACTATTTAACCTCATTACTAACAATCCTTTTCCCCCCAGCAGTGGACAGTTAGAAGCCGATATGATGATGATGATGGTATATTTGTTTAAGAGAATATGAGTGTAAAGATAACTAACTCAGGGGCGAAGAACCCTCGCGACACACGGTCCACGCGCGATCAGATTTGCGCCCGAGCGCACAACAACCGCGTCGCATTCTCACCCACCCAGACATACCGACCTGGACGAGGGTTAGAAGCCGATATGATGATGATGATGATGGTATATCTGTTTAAGAGAATGTAAGTGTAAAGATAACTAACTATTTAGGTATAAAATGGTTAATTTCGTGGATTTCCTACTTTGTATTACATCTATTTACAAATAACCCGAGCTAATTACGTTCACTTATACAAAATTCCACCTTGAAACGTGAAAATAATTGAAATTTGTTTTGTTTACGAATCCCGCTGTTCCCTACAGACCACTAGCCTGTACGTAAATACGCCCGTCTATTTGTCTCGCTCTAACATAATAAGAACTCTTCATTACCTACTGAATATAATAAAATGAGAATATTAAAGAAAAATATGTTAACATACTTGTGTCTATGTTTTTAGAATTTTATATCTTAAACTGGTGCGAACAAAATATCAATCGGTCTTTTTTTTTATACAACTTAGAATGGCAAACAAGCTGACGGCCCACCTGATGGAAAGTGGTAACAGTCGCCTATAGACATGGGCAGTACCGTGGACATAACAGTACAATACTGTTTCGCCCATGATACCCTCCATGCGTTGTCATTCCTGAGGGCTCAGGTGTTATTCCTCTGTACCCAGTAAATTCACGCCATATCCCACCCTTCAAACCGAACTGCTTCACGGTTGAAACATGAATGGGGCAGAGGTACCTAAGCAATCAACTTTTGTACAAAGTCTCCCTCTGTCCATAGCACTATATCTCAGAAATTAATAATGATATTGATTTCAAATCTATTATAGTTTTAGTTTTACAGCGTTATCATTATTATATCCGCCATTATTTGTCCAATGCTAAATATAAGCTTCCCCCATTGAGGGGGTTTTGCCAGTAGTTGCCACGTTTTTCACCAGAGCAATGGCAACGCATGGGGGGTATCATGGGCGAAACAGTATACTCTGTTATGTTCATGGCACTGCTCATATCTATAGGCGACGGTTACCATTTTCCATCAGGTGGACCGTCAGCTTGTTTGCCATTCTAAGTTGCATAAAAAAAACAAAAAAAAAAAACGTTTGGCAGACGGGTTAACAACCATAATTAGGATTTGATTATTTTCAAAACGGACGCTGCTGCCCATCCATTAAGTTCCATTAGCCACCTCTCACGACACTCATAGAAAAGCAATGAGCGGTCCATTCTATGCCGGGACCACACGGCATATTTAAATATTGTTCATCTGCTCTCATTACAAAAGATATAATTAAAAAACATGTTTTTTTTTTTGTACTGGCAATATTTATAAATCTAAATTCTAAAAATAAAAAAGTATTTGTGTTATTTATATAGTATTACGCACTCAGCGTAATATCTATTAAATTCTGTTTTGAATACAAAATGAATTTATTCTCGTTTGCATGCATGAAACGATGTATGAAATTGTATGAGAGATAAGTGTATGGAGCGTAAGAGAATTATAGGTCTTTGGTGCTCCATTCTATCTAGTAGATGTTGCCTTATAATCGTTGGCTGTCGACCTTAATCGATTACTCGATTGTAGCCACAATAATTTAATAATCGATTATGTAATCGATAATACGATCTATTTTTATTCTAATAAATAATATAAATATAATTATTTACAATTAATAGAGTGCAAATGAGTGCAGTTTTTTTTTTATTTTCTTTAATTTAAAAGTCTTATATGAGTTTATTTTTCACTTTTTGGTTTTGTTTTCATCTTTTCTAATAATCGATTTAATTTTATATAAGTTTGTTTATTTGTTTAAACATTTGGTCATATTTTAAAGCGTATTTTTTACTCTCGACGCCCCGTCTACATGTACTCATATATCTTATTTATTTATTTATTTATATTTAGCAACTAAGGGAGCTTGACAGTCACCCAATTCGCTCCCTTAGCAATCACATTATATACAAACATAATAAAATTTAATTATTGGACACACTCTAAATAATTTATTGCCATTCTGTAAAACTCGACAAGTTTACAAGTCAATATATCCAAGTCCGGATACTGGCTCATGACAACGTTGAGCAGAGTCAGTGCTAGTGGAAGAGGAGCCTGTTTTGCTAGCTCTATTCTTCTCAACGGAACATGGAAAAAGTCCCTTGGACATGCTAGAACATAATTAGAAGGCACATGAATGGATATCGATGCCATGATTCTCTGAATATTGTTATACCTCTTGAACACTTTAAATATATAATATATATATACATATATGATGAAAGCAGCAAAAATGTGTTTATTTATGACATCACATTAGAAACAAATTTGTCAGTGTTTCTCTACAATATTATGCATGTATTATACATATAAATCTTCCTCTTGAATCATTCTATCTATTAAAAAAACCTGCTTCAAAATCCGTTGCGTAGGTTTAAAGATTTAAGCTTACATAGGGACGGACAGACTACGACAGCGACTTTGTTTTATACTATGTAGTGATTATGTATACAAAATTGTTAATACTACCTCATTGTTTCAGTCGGTATCAGTGACAGTGTCCGTGCTGACATTGACCTTCATCTCAGTGGACCGCTGGTACGCCATCTGCTTCCCGCTCAAGTTCAAGTCCACTACCAGGCGGGCCAAGATCGCCATACTTGTCATCTGGGCCAATTCTCTTTTATTCAGTACGTATTCAATTTTAAATTCATCTACTGTGGCACCACTCGCGAAACGAAAAATTATTTTATCTCTTTTATGTATTTTAGGTTTTTTTTTGTATATATTTATCCTTTTATTTCTCTTTTTGAGTATGTAGGTAAATACAAATAACGGTCTCATTGCAGTCATCACAATTTAGAATAAGACCAAGGCGAGAGTAAACCCTGTCGATTATAAAAACAATTATGGAAATCGCTTCAGATTTGAATACGTAATTGTGTACGTATCCACAAAAAAAATCAGTCGAGTCGAGGATCGGCTTTTTTTTGGAAATCCCTTAAAAATTGATATGTTAGAATTAAATAATGGCCCTTTCTCGCAGTTAATAAATACAAACAATAAATAACCTGTAACGAGTCCCTGAATCTAATTATGTTAATACCATCCCAAGTCGTTCAGGAGTAAAATAGTAAAGATTCTGATATAATTACCACAGGGAGACTTTGTACAAAAATCCTTAGCTTGACCACCTCTGTCCCATTCGTGTTCCAACCGTGAAGCAGTTGTGTTTGCATGATTGTGTTTCGGTTTGAAGGGTGGGATATGGTAGTGAATTTTCAGGGTACAGAGGTAACACCTGAGTCCTCAGGAATGACAATGCATGGGGGGTATCATGGGCGAAATGGTATACTCTGTTATGTCCATGGCACTGCTCATGTCTATAGGCGACGGTTACCACTTACCATCAGGTGGCCTGTCAGAATGTTTGCCATTCTAAGTTGTATATAAAATATCTATAATGATAGAATTCATTAATTAATATTTTTTTTATTTAAAACTTTATGGCACTAATATTACAGGACTTGTTGAAGAATTTTCGATACGTATAGTGTTGTACAAAAGGCGGTCTTATTGCTAAGAAATATCTTCCAGACAACAATTCAAATAACAATATTTAGCTGATTCTGTGTACATTGTTTTAATAAATTTAACAATTGTTGTAATATATCTATTTTAATATTCTTATGTTGTCACTTGTGTCATATTTTTTTTATTATTTTGTTAATATCAACTTGATTAATGTGAAATCGATGTCTTGGGAAAATATTGTGTACATCTGTAATTGGTTTAAATGCAAAATACAAGCTTTAATTATCAATTCAAATTAATATCTGTGTTTACACTGTCGATGTACCTTTTAAAATAAAAATATAGAATACTTGTTTTTTTTTTTAATGGGTGACGATGGAATGGTAATCCCCGCCTGCGCTATCACTATACGCTGATGAGGCACCAGGTGATGATGAAAGCAGGTCAGTTAACCCATCGTGAAGAATTCCACTAGAATTAACCACGATGGTTTCCAGGGGGAACCGCGTGGAGATCGACCTGATAGAGTGTATTTCTAGCAATGGGTCAGTTAGACTTCATTACTAACAATCCCTTTCCCCCCAATAAAATACTTTATATAGGATTACAATAAATTACAAGGTAAAAAAACAGCATAGATATAAAAAGGTTCTAGCTCAGCTTTGGCTGTAGTTGGAATTGTTTGTTGTGGCTTTCAAAACCTCGAACTCTCTGAAAATTATAAACTTTAACAAACGAACTGAGCCTACTCGGGCTTAACCAAAAAAAAAAAAAAAACTAATATTAAGTACAAGTGTTATATAGTAATACTGCTAATTTAAAAACTAGTAAAATTAATTTAATAAACCTTTTTAAACATTTACATGAACAGACGTGATCGTTTAAATGTTTAAAAAGATGTTTGGATACTAGTTATTGAAGTCGCTGGCGGAAACCCAAAAAAAAAACTAAATTTAATTCTAAAATTAATTATTACAATAATAAGTGTCTTCAGATCGATGTGTGATCCGTAAGTGAAGTTATATCAAATCAAACATAAAGGAAATGGGTATTTTTGCTGCGGGAATTGCAGCATTTCAATTTTCAAAACTCGACGCAAGTGTCTTTCTCGGTAGCGCACCTTCTTGCGTTATGCTAGGTGGTCCGAACCGATCGCCGTTGAGGGTGTGTCGTAATACTTGATAGGTATCTACTATAACATACTTGTATGTTTTTTACACAATCACACATAAACGCTTAAATGGATTTGAACGAAATTTGGTACACTGATAGGCTACCATCATGATCATCAGCCATTAACTGTTCACCGCTGAATATAGGCTTCCCCCTTGGAGGATTTTGCCAGTAGTTGCCATACTTGGCAGGTGGATTGGCAACCGCAGTTAAGTGGGGATTTTGCCAGTAGTTGCCATACTTGGCAGGTGGATTGGCAACCGCAGTTAAGTGGGGATTTTGCCAGTGGTTGCCATACTTGGCAGGTGGATTGGCAACCGCAGTTAAGTGGGGATTTTGCCAGTGGTTGCCATACTTGGCAGGCGAATTGGCAACCGCAGTTAAATTTTAGAGATATTTTAAGAGGGACGCTGCTGCCCATCCTACGCCCTCCCTTGGCTTCTTACGACACCCACGGGATAGGAAAGGGCGGCATATTCTATCGTGGGACCACACGATCTATATATGGACTATATCCTACCTTAATAGATAAATTACTTCATATCCAATTTCACGCAAGCAAAGCCACGGGCTTGCATCATAATATAGTTAAAAATGAATTGTGGTATAAAAAAACAACGCATCAGCCAACCAATTGATTGACTATTTTATGAGACGTTTTTAATTCGACGCTCCATTTATATGTAAATGATCGAACGTATTTATACTATACCATTGTTTTTTTGTCAACAGATTCCCCAGAACTGGTCGTGCTGACCACAGTCAAGTCTGTACCGCTGAGATTCGAACTGGAATACCTGGTACAGTGTATGGCCACTTGGTCGTCACAGAGCGACCTCGTATGGCATATCATCAAAGTTGTTTTCATTTATACGTAAGTATATTTAATAAAAAATTGTAATTGCCGCGTGGACCCCGCATAGATAAGCCACCCCTACCTTTACCAGTGTCGTAAGAGGCGACTAAGAAAGGGCGAGGGATGGGCAGCAGCATCCCTCTTAAAATAGCTCCACAGCCTATCTGCGGTTGCTAATCCACCTGCCAAGCATGGCAACTTTTAGCTGACTGAATCTGAAGCCGTTTTTGCACTGGTTACTCCATACATTATATCACCAGAGGGAGACTTTGTACACCAGAGAGAGACTGTACAAAAGCCGATTGCTTGAGTACCTCTGTCCCATTCGTGTTTCAACCGTAAAGCAGTTGTGTTTGTATGGCTGTGTTTCGGTTTGAAGGGTGGGATATAGCGTGAATTTACTGGGTACGGAGGAATAACAGCAGAGTCGTCAGGAATGGCAACGCATGGGGGGTATCATGGGCGAAATAGTATACTCTGTTATATCCATTGTACTACTCATGTCTATACGCGACAGTTTACCACTTTCCATCAGTTGGGCCGTCAGCTTATTTGCCATTCTAAGTTGTATATATAAAAAAAAACTAAAATTCTAGTATTAAACAAGATATTGTAATTCCAGAATCCCATTGATGCTGATGACAGTTGCCTACTACCAGATTGTGAGGGTTCTTTGGAAATCTGAGAAGATCCCAGGGCAAGCGGAGACCATAAAATTGGCACCGGCAGAGCAGAGTAAGCATTTTTATAATTGAGGCATTGATATAACAAAAAACCAAGATGCACAATCGGAACCGAAAAAATAGAGCGCATTCAACGATATTGTACACTCGTTTCTGAATAAATAGCCAGTGATGACTGGTAAAAAAATAAACTAAAGTTTCATCCCAACCATCTGGACAAGTAGCGGTCCTCCATCGTGCGTTTTTCAAGGCACTTTCTTCCACGCACAACCATTCTTTGGAATCAACTTCCAGCAGCAGTATTTCCGAACCGATATTGTCATATCATAACCTTCAAGAAAAGAGTATATTCCTTTTTAAAAGGCCGGCATCACACCTGCAATGCCGCTAGTGTTGTGCGTGATCATGGGCGGCGGTAGTCACTTACCATCAGGTGAGCCGCACGCTCGTTTGCCCCCTGCGTTGTAAAAAAAAAAAAACATTCAAACATGCAGTTACATATTTAACTGACAAAATAACAAAAAAAAAATATGTACAAATCATATTTTAAATTGCGACTGTAAATAAAACGCCATAATGTATTTTATCATCTTGCATTTTTATCTGTCATTATAGTTTTTTTTCTTTTAAATTTCGAATAGTTTTATAAGCAATGCAAAAAGGTTTTCTTAAAACACAATCTTATATATAAAATTCTCGTGTCTCGGTGTTTGTTACCAAACTCCTCCGAAACGGCTTTACCGATTTTTATGAAATTTTGTGTGCATATTAGGTAAGTCTGAGAATCCGTCAACATCTATTTTTCAACCCCTCAATGATAAGGGTGACTCACCTCTAAAAATTTTTTCTTTATTTTTTTGAGATCTTTTTTATTTTTATTTTATTATGATTAAGCAATGAAAAATACATACAAATTCATATTTTCACGCTTTTGCGATCAGCCCCTGTTTTTTAATTGCGATTATTATATGCCGCAATAGGGTTGCAAGATGGCAATCGAATATAATAATTGTAGTGGGATAATTTTTTATCTATAGTGCTCAAAACAACGTATATGGTAAAACAACGTTTGCCGAGTCAACTAGTAATATATGTAACAAACCGAATCTTTTTAATACATTAAAAAACAGAAATATATCACTTATGTTATTTCAACAATCATTACCTAATCTTAACACAGTTTTCATTTAGTTGCATTTACTCATAGTTTGTTTTGTCATAATAGCTCATTAAATGTCAGTAAAAATGATTAATTTATGCTCATTAAATTAGTCTAATATGTACCAAGAATATATGTTAAAATGTGCCAAAAACTTATTACTCATGTCTCACATATAGATGCAAAAAAAAATCTTTACAAATGAATTATTAGTTAAATATATATTTAGTAAAAAAATATATAACTTATTTCAAAATTTATAAAACTATATTATTATTCGAGGTACGGTGGAATAAACTTATCTGAAAAATTCGATTCAAGATTTTTATATCTGAAACATGCGTATAAATAAATACAGATGTTATATTTATATAACAATATAATTTTGTTCAACATGTTTAGCCTATATAGTAGTATATATACGGACGCGCAAAACGGCAGCGCACGCGCACGTCGCACGCACGCATGCACGCATGCACGCACGGGCGCACAGTATACTCTGCATGCCACGGTACGCATAATATATATATATATATATATATATATATATATATATATATATATATATATATATATATATATATATATATATATATATATATATACTGCATTAAATTTTTCTTTAATTTCTAAATAGATTTAAGCGTCTTAAATTCTGAATTTTTATATCAATGGTCGATAAATGGAATTACTAATACTGACAGCAATATGTTTATAATGAAACTGTTTAAATACGTATATTGGGAACGTAATTTTTTACTAAAACTTTCAAGAGAACATCGCTTCAATGGCATAAAGTGGGAAGTATGTTTACTCGAGTCTTATTTACTGCTTATAACATTACTGGTGATTCAATTGGCTTATAAGACTCTATTCCTGTACGATGTTTATAATAAATTAAACTCTAATCCCATGTACGAGGTCTTAAATTACATTGATCGATACTGATCTATATATACATAAATATTACACAATTTTTTCCGTGTGTTTTCTACACCGCCTTACATTTTCGAGGGATTCCGTCATTGTTTTCTATATTTTTACTGTGTGTGGTGCAAGTATAAAGATTTTACCATATATGCAACTTAGAATAGCAAACAGGCTGACGGCCCGCCTGATGGAAAATTGTAATCGTCACCTATAGACATAAACAGCATCGTGGATATCACTGAATACTTTATGGTACCTTTGGTACTATTCATGCGTTTTTGAGGACTATGGTGTTTTTTTTTAATGGATAATAATGAAATGATAACCCCGCCTGCGCTAACCGTGTATGCTGGAGGGGCACCAGTGAGAGATGATAGGTGAGAATGAAAAGGCAGGTCAGTTAGCCTATCGTGATGTATTTACTTAGAATAGAACACGACAGTTTTCATGGGGAACTCTAGGAGGGCGACTTGACAGGGTCTTGCTAACAATGAGGCTGGGGGGAGGGGATTATTAGTAATGGGGAGGTTAGTCTCCATCGTCAGAGTCTCCATCGTTTATTAGTATCCTAGCCTATCGTGATGTATTTACTTAGAATAGAACACGACCTCACCTATCAGTTTTTAACATTATTACCCATTTAAAAAAAAAACAATGGGGCTACATTGAAAAATTAAAAAAAACATAAACTATAATTTTATATATATACATATTTTTAACAAATTTCGACTTGACAGGGTCTTGCGAACAATGAGGCTGGGGGAGGCGATTGTTAGTAATGAGGAGGTTAGTCTTCATCGCTATCAATGTACCCTATCATATCGACTCTCCATTTTATTCCCCCTGAATGATGATCGTGTATCTAGTTTGATCGTTGATTTCTCATGATAGTGATTGATCGGTATAAATTTCATCCTACCTAATCATCCCTCACTATTCGGCTGTCTCCTCCTTGGAATAGTGGTGGAAGTTCGCTTGTGTAAACATTCCATTTTTTTTTTAATAAAAAAAGGCCAAACATGCATGCAATGGGAGACTGATAAAAAGACGATAAACTAATCCCATTATATATATATATATATATATATATATATATATATATATATATATATATATATATATATATATATATAAGTCCTCAGAAATGGCAACACATTTCAAGACAATTGGTCTAATGATGACCATTAAAGCCTCAATAGATGTCCATCATCATGACAAACATTGTTTGCCAATCAATAAAAAATCAATAGTCGACTTGCCGCCTATGTCTTGTAACAACATCTTGTATGAAACATATTCTGTTCTCTCCCTATTTTATGATCATGAATGATGATGCATTGTATCTGTGTTGATATTGTACATTTCTTTGATGAGTGATTGATCGGGTATAAATTTAGCACTACCTAATAATATCTCAGGTATTCGGCTGTCTGCCTCCTTGGAATAGTGGTGGGAAGTTCGCTTGTGTAAACAGGAACACTTTTTTTTTTTTAATAACACAAAGGCCAAAAAAATGCATAGAGATGCAGCTCTGGTAGACTTCAATGTACAAAAAATCGATTATTTCCCATGATATAACGTGACTCTTTGTCCAAACAATAAATCGATGTTTCTTCTTTCACAGCAAGCAGTTGTGTTTCGCAATAATGTGTTTCTGCTATTTTCCTGTGCATCTTCTGTGTTTTAAGGATACAGAGGAATAACTTCAGAGTCCTCAGAAAAAAAAACACATTATTTAAAAATGGCGAAACAAACGTTATCTGTTATGTCCATGATACTGCTCATGTCATAAGGATTAAATACGAAATGATTTAGTATACAATGGCACTTTCCATCAGGTCTCTTACAGTCAGCTTTTTTGGCAAATTGTATAAAAAAAATCTGATAGTTGACTACCGCCGCCCAGGAACACTAACAACACCAAAGGTATTAAAAGCGTGCTGCCGGCCTTTTAAAAAGGAATATGCTCTTTTTATGATGTCGTATCGGTTCGGAAATAATAAAAGCTGCTGGAATATAACATTGATTCGAAAGAGTGGTTGTACATGGAAGAATGTGCATATATACAAAACACACATGGAAGACCGCCATACATATATATATATATAACTTATATATACATGTGCACGCGTATATACGGTGGTGAAACATCAGCAGCAGGTATATATCCGAACAATTCCTCAAAGCACTCACCATGATAAAATTGGTTGAAGATGCATAGAGATGCAACATCTCTACGCAGTTTCAGTGGGTCGAAACACATATAAAATGCCATTATTTCCCATGATATAACGTGACTGTTTGAAATCTAAACAAACAATAAATCGATGCAGTTTCTTCTTTCACAGCACAACTACGTTCTAGAAGGAAGGCGGCCAAGATGCTTGTCGCTGTCGTAATAATGTTCGCCGTCTGCTATTTTCCTGTGCATCTTCTGTCTGTTTTAAGGTATAGTTATATTTTTTTTTTCGCTCAACTTTATCAACAAGCTTGTGTGGGATATCTATCATTTATGAAAAAAAAAGATAGATTATTTCAAAAAAGTGCTCTACTAATACTGCGAAATGAAACGTTAAGCATGCATTAATGTTCTTTTAAGTTTTAAATTTGTTCTAAAAGTTTTTATTTATATTTATTCAAAAAGATACTAAAATATCAACATTCACATTATAACAGTACAAAATACAAATATAGAGGGGGGAAAGGGATTGTTAGTAATGGAGACTGAGAATCCCATTGCTAGCAATACACCCAACCAGGTCGACCTCCTCGCGGTTCTCCCTGGAAACTATCATGAAACTATGGTTCATTCCTGATGAATTTATCATGATGGGCTAACTGGGCTGTTTTCATTCTCATCGATCACCCTTCACTGGTGCTCCGCCAGCGTATCCCGTTAGCGCAGACGGGGTTACCATTTTTACCCGTCAAAAAAAAAATACAAATATAGAGAAGAATTACTAATTGAGTCGAGACAAGTGACACCTACCTGACGAAGATTGAACAAGCAATGTAAAAATAGATACCTACCTACGAGTACAAGTCTACTTACCTATAAATATACATTTTAACGAATTCCCTTTTAAGTGATTTACTTAAGAACTATTTATAATAATATTCATGTTATTTGACTTAATTTCTCTATGAATTCATATAAATATGTCTGCTCTTTAGCAATTTATTACTTAAATATATTTTGTCGACGACAGCACAAACAAGCTCTTTTTCAACTGAATTAAAAAAGAAGTAGTTTCTCAATTGGGTTTTTTAGGGTTCTGTAACTCCAAAGGAAAAACGGAACTCAGATTGTCAGTGTTGACAGTACAAGCAACATGCTTGTACTGTCAACACTGAAAAAATGTTATTCATGCGGTCATTTAAATTTTTTTTTTTTTTGTTATTTCACTTAATACGTAGCGAAGCACGTTCCGAACCGCCAGTTATACGAGTATGTATTGATTGATGACATAGTGTAAATAATAAACGTGCCACCATAGTGTTAATATATACAGTCAAAACACTATTCAATCATGAATTTAAAGCTTATTTAACCGTATGTTTGTTTAATATACTCGTTTATCTTTATTTAGCACTCGCTTGACATCTGACTTCCTAGAAAAATCCATGAGAATATAGGTAACTCTATACTAGTGTTATAAAGAAGAAATATTTGATTAAGATGTTTTATATATAACTAGCGACCCGCCCCGACTTCGCACGGGTACAATGCTGATACTGAATAGCGCCCGCCCCCCCACGACTGGTACCGACGCAACCGCTATGTCCGTGTATTTTAAATCTGTAATATCTTCGAAAATATTCATTAAAATTACATGCTGTAAATAAATTGTCTATTTAATATAGAGCCATATTGATCTATATTAAATGGACAATGTATTTAAGGTACTTAATAAAAAATATTAATAAATATATGTTGATAAAAATTTATGCTGTAAAATCACTTCGTAAATAAGCCATCTTTTCCCATAAAATATAAAGGATAAAAAAATAGTTATTGTAGATTATTCTTAAGAGATAGAGATATACCATCGCGGACTTTTTTGTTAACCTTTTTAAGGTGTACAATAGTGTAGTACAGTATTTTGATTTATCTCGTAGGGTTAAGCCAGCGTTTGCAATGTAAGCGCAAAAAAGTGTGTTTATTTACGACATCACATTAGAAACCTCTAAATTTATTAATGTTTCTCTACAACATTATACATGTGTTATACATATAAACCTTCCTCTTGAATCACTTGAATCTATCTCTTGAATCTATCTATTAAAAATTCGCATCAAAATCCGTTGTATAGTTTTAAAGATTTAAGTATACATAGGGACAGACAGACAGCGACAGCGACTTTGTTTTAAACTATCATACATCTTTTAAACCTAACTGCGGTTGCCAACCCGCCTGCTAAGTGTGGCAACTACTGGCAGAACACTCCTTATGGGGAAGGCTTATGTCCAGCAGTGGACAGTTAATGGCTGAAATAAAATAGATCTTTTAAATTGTAAATTCCCTAACTTCCAAGCTAGGTAAAACCTGTGTTTCAGAAGTCAGCTTGTCAGCTTCTTGCGTAGTTTTAAAGATTTAAGCATACATAGTGACGGACAGACAGCGACAATGACTTTGTTTTATACTATGTAGTGATGAATAAATGGATAAAACCTACTAAACCGATTTTAAATGTTCTTTCACCTACAGAGAGCTAAATTACTCGCTGATGATGATCAACGAGTGCTAAAAATGCTGTCATCATCTCAGACATTATCTGTCCACTGCTGAACATAGCCTCTCCCATTAGGGGAGCTTTGCCAGTAGTTGCTACGCATGGCAGGCGGATTGGCAACCGTAGTTAGGCTTTTAAAGATATTTTAAGAGGGACGCTGCTGTCCATTTCTCTATCATTAAGTTCCTTTAGTCACCTCTTAAGACAGGAAAGAAAAGGGTGGCTTATTCTATGCCGGGACCAACGTCATCATCATCTTTTTACCTTTATCCCAATTATTATTTGGGGTCAACGTAATGATTTTCTCTTACATTCTTCTCTATTCGCAGTCATTCCCATTCTGCCCAATACGGTACCAATGTCAATGCAATTGAATTATTGTAATTAAATTTAGAAGTCAAAAATTATGATGCAAAAAAAGACTATTTTTTCTGCATTTAAACGCGTGAAGAGACGAGGCGTGGGAGGATGGTAAATACGTATGAATAAATGAGTTACAAATTTGTGCTATTGAAAATCAGCGACATGTTCAAAAGAACATGGCATATAGCTGAGTGAGTTGAGCTGAGAGCCATTTTAGTGCTTTTTCTGTTCATTACTTTTTGTATATTGTTAAATGTTTCTATACCACTACTTCCTATGCCACTGTGTTAGGTTGACTGGAAGAAATCTCTTTTAGAGATAAGTTCGCCTTTGCTAAAATTGTTATTAACTTCTTGTTGTTACTGTGTTTTAGTGCTATATCTTTTATTATTATGTGTTTATCTAATGTACAATTAAGCACTAAATAAATAAATAAATCTTTGTTTCTTTCTTTCAAAAACAATCACATCAATATATCAAGTTTTCCAGCGACACGCCTGCCAAATACTATTGCCTAATATTAGGCTATTCGGCCAAAAATACTGCACATTATTCCATATTCGGCGTACCGCCTAATATACTATTCTCTACGAGTCCATTAACACCAATATTATCTGTTTCCGAGAAATCCTTTCCACATGAAGTAAATAAATAGAAGTAAACTCTTTTGGTTGTTCAAGAGTGACGTCTGTAGTCTCACCCCTTCCCGAGTTGTGAGAATATTTATTTGCACTTACTAGTTTTTACCCGCAACTTCGTCCGGATCTGTGATCGGTTATTGAAACAAAATGATTAATGAAGTATATTTTTCCTTTTTATTCATCATCCATATATGTAACAAACAAAAACACAATACATTTCTTGTGACGACAAAATTCAGATATATTAGAAGCATACAGGGCCAGCCATACTAACTTCCTTTGGGTCCTGTCAAATTCAAATACAAGTCATCTTTACTCAAATAGACTTATTTACAAGCACTTTTAAATCATAAATTTCTTTTAAATCTACTGCAGGGTTCAGTTGGTTGTTATCTGTTGAGAAGAGCCCGCAAGAAACTCAACAGTTACTCTTTTAAATCTCTGTTAACATTATATGTATTTATTTAAATGTACTACGTCTAACGGCGTCATCATGATCGACTAACACCGTGCACATTTGTCAATTAAGTAATCGTTTAATGCATAATAGGCTTTATTCAAGTTGAACGGTGTGGACTGCCGCACGGTGAGCGTGGACTGTAGGGGCGTTGGTTCAGGCTGGAGTGAAACACAGCGATTACTATTCTGAAGCCTCCGGTACCGTCTGAAGAGAGTATTTTTTCTTCTCGTCCTATTTCTTCTCGAGTGTAGTGCGTCGCTGCCCGGAAGCGAATGCCGCTCGACGAGAGGCGGCCTATCTTTATACCCGCCCGCTCGCACGATAACATTTCCAACTCGCGTTAGCGAATCTGCGCGAGCGGGACGGGGCGAGAAAGAACGAGACGCGTGTCTCTTCAGATCGGTACTCTATAGCGTCTATTTATTGCAATTTACAATTTCTTAATTCTATTTATTGTTACAATTTCTATTTCTATTCGTAGGTAATAATGACAACACACAAAGGAATACTTTATTTAACTTACACTATCTTAAATCTATGTAAATCTATATAAAATAACAGAATACAAAACGATTAACTAGGACTTAACAACTATAAATTACGATATATACAAATAATGTCGCGAACATAATCTCCCGCCGCAGCTCTCGTAGCTGGAGTTAACTCGTGTTCGCGTCGCTCGATGTCGATGTGGGCAGTATGATCAGCTTCTCAGTGGGTCGCCGTAGGATGCCCTTGTTCGTCCGCACGTCGACCGCTCGAATCTCGCCGTCTGGTCCAGGGTAGGTCGCCACCACCACGCCTCGCGGCCACGTGTTGCGAGGCAAGGTCCCATCAGCTATCAGGACCAGGTCGTCCATTTTGATGGCTCCGTGTGTAGCTCGGGGCTCCCGCCGGTGTTGCAACTCGGGTAGGTACTCCTTCACCCACCGGTTCCAGAAGCAATCAGCTAGCCTCTGGCTGGCACGCCACTCCTTGTGTCCCGCCGCGTCGCTCTCGGTGAAGCTGCCTGGCAGTGGGACGCGCGATGGACCGCCCAATATGAAGTGATTGGGGGTTAGGGCGCTGTCGTCGTCTGCCGATGTTGACACGTGGGTTAGCGGTCGACTATTGAGGGTGTGCTCGACCTCGACCAGCAGAGTGTGGAGGACCTCTTCCTTGGGGGCCCGCTCGTTCAACGTAGCGGCTAGTGCGGTCTTCACGCTACGCACCAGCCGTTCCCACGCACCTCCCATGAAGGGTGCGCTCGGGGGAATGTAGCGCCACCGGATGAAATGGATTGATGACTCTTCTTGGATGGCTTCCTCGGCTGCTTTCTTCAGTTCGACGTCAGCACCTTTGAGGTTGGTGCCTTGGTCGGACCATAGCTCAGTGGGACACCCTCTGCGGCTTATGAAGCGCCGCAGGGCCATTATGGCGGAGTCCGTGCTGAGGCTGCCGGCGATTTCCAGGTGGACTGCGCGCGTCGTTAAGCAGGTGAAGAGCACTCCGTACCGCTTCTGGTGAGTGCGGCCCACTGTCACGGTCATAGGCCCGAAGTAGTCTAGGCCGGTGAACGTGAACGGTCGTTGATGATGCGCCAGCCTGCTCTATGGATGGTTGCCCGTTGACGGCTGCGCCGGTCTTGCTCTTCGTAGGCGGCACAGCTGACACCTCTTCAGTTCACTGCGGACGGCGTGTCGTAGGCGCAACACCCACAAGTGTTGTCGCACCTCGTTCGTGGTGATCTCGAAGCCGCCGTGGTGAAGTTTCCGATGCACCCATGCGATGTATAGGCGCACCCAGGCGTGGTTTCCGTCGACGATGGGGGGTTCTCGTTGCTCGGCTGACAGATCGGCGGCGGCTGCTATTCTCGATCGAAGTCGCAGAATGTCGTCGTTGTCTATGACGACTGACAGCTGTATGAGTCGACTGGATGACGGCAGCTGTTTCCCTGTTTCAATACTGCGATTTCGTCGCCGAACGCCTCTTGTTGTATCGCGCGAATCCATAGCCGTCGCGCGCGATCTAGGTAGTGTGTGTCTATGGGGATGAAACACACAGATGGACTATTGTTGTTCTTGATTTTCATCTTCGTCTTCTCTCTATCGACTTTCTTCGTACGGGTCCAAGTGGGGTCGGTGCTCTCTTTCTTCTTGTTCCTCTTTCGGATGGCGGTACAGCGTTGACTGGTCGGTCGCAGGAGGTCGATGAACTGCAACACCCGTGCTGAACTGCGAACAAGTTTCAACCAATTAGAAAAACGTGACGGATCGGGTAATGCTATAGACAACTGCGTCGCGTTCTGTAGCTTGTGTACGCGTTCTTCTCCCGTTTCCGCTTGACTATCGTCGCTCGTACTATCTTCACGCGGCCACTGCTCTTCGGGGAGGTACAGGAAGTCCGGCCCACGGAACCATCTATGCTGCGAGCCGAAGTCCGTCGGTGGGTCGCGTGTGGCGTCGTCTGCTACGTTGTGCCGCGTCGGTATCCATCTCCATTCGTTCGTCTTCGTTTCTTCGACGATCTCGGCGACTCTATGCGCGACGAACGGCTTGTATGCGCGAGGACCGGTGCGTAGCCATGCGAGCACGGTGCGTGAGTCCGACCAGTATACTCGGCGAGCGGGCTTCAGGTCGTGTTCTTCGACTGCCGTGCGCGATAGGCGACACCCGAGGACGGCCGCTTGCAGCTCCAGTCGCGGTATCGTGGTCACCTTGCTGAGTGGGGCCACTCGTCCCTTTGCCGCGATCAGCGACACGTGGACCTCGCCGGTCGCGCTTACGGCCCGCCAGTACACGGCACAGGCGTACGCGTCCGAGCTGGCGTCGACGAATGTATGCAGCTCCGCTGTATCGGCCGTGGCTACCTCCGGGTAGCACCGCGGCACCTCCAGCGCGGACAGCCGTCGCACGTGGTCCATCCAGCTCCGCCAGGCGTCCGCTTCCCGTGGTTGCAGCTCGGTGTCCCAGTCGATACCGGTACGCCACGTCTCCTGCAATATCTTCTTCGCCTGTATGGTGATGGGAGTGGCGAGGCCCAGTGGATCGAACAGCGACATGATTGCTCGTAGCGCTTCCCTCTTCGTCGGCGTCTGTTCCCCGCTGGCTATCTGTGGCGGAAGCTTGTGTCCGTTGAAGTTGAAGCCTAAGGTGTCTTCAGAAGGTCGCCATACCATCCCCAGTATCTTCTCTGCGTCGAGTTGTACCACGCTGTCCCCGCCGGTGTCGGAGAACGCGGCGCGCACTTGATGCGAGTTCGACGCCCACCGTTGGAGATAGTAGTTGGCTCGACCGTGGATCTGTGCGACCTGTCTTGAGACGCGTACGGCTTGCTCTTCCGTGTCGAAGCTGGCGAGGTAGTCGTCGACGTAGTGGTTCATGACCACCGCCGTTGCTGCCTCCGGGAACTCTTCCTTGTACTGTTCTGCGTTCTTGTTCTTGACGTAGATCGCTGTACACGGTGACGATGTTGCGCCGAATATGACACTCTTCATCCTATATTCCACAGGTGGACCCTCTCGTCGATCTCCTCGCCACAGGAATCGTTGCATCTCCCTATCTTCTTCCCGTATGGTGACCCGCATGAACATGTCCTTTATGTCCGCCGTGACTGCCACCCGTCGTTGCCGGAACCGCATGAGGACCCCCGGTAGCGATTGAAGTAAGTCGGGGCCCAGCAGCAGCATGTCGTTCAAACTGATGCCCTTCGTCTTGGCTGCTGCGTCGTGTACGATCCGCAGTTTCCCCGGTTTCTGCGGGTTGATGACGGCGAAGTGTGGCAGGTACCACACCCGTTGGGAACTCCGTGGCGGGGCGACTTCAGCATACCCGTTCTTGAGTAGCGTGTCCATTTGTGTTCATATCTCTTCTTAATTTCTTCATTCTTGTCGAGTTTCCTTCAACCAGTTGGAGACGTCGCATTGCCGATTCGTAGTTGTCCGGC